TACCCGATGTGGGGTTGGGGGGATGAGAAGAGATAAACCAAAAATGTGTGTATTTATATGCATAGCCCATGGACATGGGCAATAGGGTAGTGAAGACCTGGCGGGGCGGGGGGGGGGGGGGACGGGTAGAGACTGGGAGGAGGGGAGGGAAATGGGGAGTATCTGTAATACTATCAAAAAATACATTTACTATATTCTTGTGTAACCTTAAATAAATTTATTATATTCTTATGTATTTTTGGTGAAATGTAGGGCTTTCAAAGGTGCATGACCAAGGGAAGGAGCCCTTCTTGCCTGGGTGTAAGGGCATTACTGTTTACATAGTCCTGGAATGGGCACTGGGAGTCCAGCCCCGGGAATTCCCAGAAAAGGCCCTTTTCATGTGCCTGGACCCATGTCTACCATAGAGGTTTACCGTCAACCCGGGATGTAAGAAAGTGTTTACTGAACATATGATCATTTTGCCTCATACAGCATCTGAGAGTGTATGAGGCAGTAGTAAATAACTCAGATAACAACATGGTACTGTAGGGAGATGAAGTGAATGGTGTGGTAACTGTGGGTGTGTATGGGTTGCCCAAAGCACTAGTATTTGAAAGCGTGCCACATGCCCACTCAGATTTGACTTCCTGATTTCCTCAGCACTGAACTTATTCACTCCTTTCAGTCTCCCATTCCCACGACAAGGACTACACCTAGACACCTTCTTATCACACGAGCTTGCTGCTCTTCAGATATCTTAACTTCCAACATCCTACTCCAACCAAACCTCCTACTCCTCCAGCTTTTTCCTTTGCCAGTTCTCCGGCCACACTATTACCCATGTCTAGCAATGGCCAAGCATGGAAGGATCCAACTCTCTGATTTCTACACGCCAAGAGTGCTGCTGGAGAAAATCACTCCACCCGGCAGACTGGGGCCACTATCAATCACCAATCACTGGTCATCGATGTCAACTGGGCTTTCAGCACTGCCTGATCATCTGTTCTCCCATAGCTAGGATGGATGCAGGGAAGCTTATACAATTTGTGGGGCCATCTTTAAGAAGAGAATACAAAATGAACAGACACAAAATTAGGTACAAAAGTGGATGTTGATCTACTGGTAAAATGAGAAAAAAATCATCAACCATGCATAATGGGGGAGCTGGGGATTTGAGGTTTTCTGAGATCTCTTTAGGATTTTACCAGCAACGCTTGCATGAAAATGCTTTCTGATAGCAACTTGGTTTCCCCTCCCCTACTAGAATACAATTCCCAGCAACTCACAGGGGCCAGGTAAATTTCAAAAGCTTCACAGTGAACCTGCCCCTGAGTTTACAACACCTAATTCATGTCCTCTCCTATTCTCAAGCCATTCAACCCACCAGCTCCCTTGAACCATTAACAGGTGATTTTTCCCTCTGACTTCATAGATGATATCGAAGCCATCAGCCATCAACTCCCTCAACTTTCTGCTCCCAAACCAGCAAACTTACCTGTATCCCACTCATATTTTCTTCCTTTCCACTTTCTACATTAGGTGTTACTCCATCCATTTTTAATCTTCATCTTGTGAATTTCTCTTACAGTGGTCTTTTAGTTTCATCAAAGATAGAGTTTGCTTCTGTTTGTTGCCCTCCTTGGCTCTTTCCTGCCCATCTAAGAGGTGCCCACCTTAGTCTGGAATAGGGGGGAGAGATCACAGAAGACTTCCTGAACCAAGTGGCCTGTGTTTAAGCAAGGCCCCAACAATGAGTCACCAGGTGAAGAGGAGGGAAAAAGTGGTCTAGGCCGCTGGCTCAGAAGGGCAAAGAGTATGTCTCCTCTGAGAACCTGAAAGAAGGGTGTGGGGTGGAAGGTGAAAAATGAGCCATTTGACCTTGAGAAGCTTAGTTTGGAAAAAGGCTCTTAAACAGATACTTCAAAATGTTCACTTTAATCAATGATTTCTGATTCAGTATATGCTACAGTCTATACAACTTAATTCAACAAACCTTTATTTACTGGTAAATAATGCATAAATAATTTGTAGGTAACTCAAGGTGAGCAAGAGGTGGTCCTTGCCCTCAGGAGATTATGGTCTATCAGGTAATCAAATAACAAATACAATTGACTATCAAGTGGGCAGAATAGGAGAGCTTTAAGTGACACAGAAGGGTTAAAGGAGTATATTTTATGTCATTTATATTTTAACCATAATAAAAACAATTAAATGTTCCATGGATTCTGGGGTTTGTATCTACTTAAGAAGACGTTTCATACCTCAAGATTATAGAGAAGTCTGTTTATTCTTCTAGAAGTATTATTTAATCTGGAGTTGATTGGAGGTGCACCTTTTGGATGGGTGTTTGAGGTGAAGAGGCGTCTGTGACCGTCAGGGGAGGAAGTGACAAGGACCTGAAGTGAGGTGATGAAGCAGAAGGACCAGGTTCTTCCGACTGGGAAGGTAGGATAAGAATTGGCTTTCAACTAGATATGTGCTTAATGCATGGTAGGTATTTGAATGTTTGTTGAATGAGGAGGGGGAAGAGTTAGTCAATACAGAGAACTCCTGAAGTTTCTAACCCAAACAGCATGCATAATAGTAATAATAACATTAATACTAATAGCCACTGAAGGAGGGAGATAAAGTTTATGGGTGGATTAGGATGTGTTACATTTTGGATGTGCTAATGTTGTTTAGGTGCAAGTCAGCCATGTGGGTGAGTTCCACAAAGCAGTCAAGAGGCAGGTCTTATGTGGAGAAGAATTTAGGCAGACAAATTTGGTTTAGAACACATGATGATTGCTGAAACTATGAGGCTGTATGGGAGAGGATAAGAGTGTCAAGGGAGAATAGAGCCTCAAAGAATTTCAGCCTTTAAGTGGAATGAAGAGAAAGTATAGCAGAGAAGTAAATAATTTATAGAGATGGCACTTGAAATGGGCTTGAAGAAAGGGTTTTGACAACAGAAGACTGGAGGGTGAGGTAGTGGAGGTGGTGAAGGAAGGGTTCCAAGCAGAAATAACATGAAGAACAGAAAGAAGGGAAAGACTCCACCAGAGATGCCATTCAGAAACCAGAGGCCATTCAGTAACCAGTTGAATGATGTGTAGAAGAATTGAAAGTTTCAAGGATGGATTAGCCAAACATTATTACTGTGAATGAAAGGATGATGACCAAGATAAGGCCATTTTCCTCAGGGACACTGTGACTATTGCTATTTGGTTGCTTGGATATGAAGAGAGTCTACTAGCATTTGATCTACTTTGTTAAGCTCAAGCCAGAGGTATCTGGTAACTTTGGAGTATCTCAGGTTTCTAAACATAGTCAGTGGTCCTGTATCCTAGATTTAGATTGGGGGTTCCAATTTGCTTTGTTATGACACATCTCCTTTTGTTTTTTAAAAAATCTTTATTGTTGAAAGTATTACATATGCCCCTCTATATCTCCCATTGACACCCTCCAGCCCCCACCCCAGGCCTTCACCTCCTTATTATCTGTGTCCCTGGTTGATTACCTCCTGCCCACCCACCTTCCCCTGCTTTCCCTCCGAGATTCCACACTGTTGTGACACATCAGGTGGGTTTCAGGTGTACTTTTATCATTACTTTTGTTTGTGTGTTTTTTTAAATGAGGAATTGGAAGAGATCATGTTTCTGGGGAAGGGAGATAATGGTAGCAATGTCCACGGCTCAGATATTATACTGCAAACACGTGCTCCGAGAAGGTGGCAAGAAAACAAATTAAGCCAAGTTCTGTTTTCCCCAAAGACCTTATACTTGGTTTCAAAGAGTCACAATTGGGTTGATATTTAAGACATCAAACAGCATTACAAAATATTTCAGAGTGCCATTTTTCATTCATCACACAGGCAAAGACCTGTAAAGTCTGGTAACTGTTGAGGCAAGGGTGTGGGCACGCAGGCACTGTCCCACACAGCTGGTGGGACATTTATTTGCTTGACCTCTTTGAAAGGCAACTGGCAAGACTTACTAAGGGCACATCCCCTCTGACCCAGGGTATTCTGGGCAAGATAATTAATTGCAGTATAATTTGCTGTGGCAAACAATGGAAATGACCTAAAAGGTCCATGAATAGAGGCTGGTTAAATAATTAGGGCATGCCCTAGCCGGTGTGGCTCACTGGATAGAGCATCGGCCTGGGGACAGAAGGGTCCCAGGTTCGATTCCGGTCAAGGGCATGTACCTTGGTTGCGGGCACATCCCCAGTAGGGGGTGTGCAGGAGGCAGCTGTTTGATGTTTCTCTCTCATCGATGTTTCTAACTCTCTATCCCTCTCCCTTCCTCTCTGTAAAAAATCAATAAAATATATTTAAAAAATATAAAAGGTCCATGAATAGAGGCTGGTTAAATAATTAGGGCATGCCCTAGCCAGTGTGGCTCACTGGATAGAGCATCGGCCTGGGGACTGAAGGGTCCCAGGTTTGATTCCGGTCAAGGGCATGTACCTTGGTTGCGGGCACATCCCCAGTAGGGGGTGTGCAGGAGGCAGCTGATCGATGTTTCTCTCTCATCGATGTTTCTAACTCTCTATCTCTCTCCCTTCCTCTCTGTAAAAAATCAATAAAATATATTTAAAAAAAATAATTAGGGCATATCTTTTGGTTGCAGTCCATGGGATACTTTAGTTGTTACTGCTGTTTATATATGAAATAGCTCTGGAACTAGAGACAAGAAACTGTTGACACTGGTAGTGTCTGAGAGGGGGCTGGGCTGAGGGGACAAGGATGGGAGGGACTTTTCACTTACCTTCTATACCTGATGAATGTGTGATCTCCACCTACTACCCAATTAAAGCAAAAAAAAAAAAAAGTCTCGTAGTAGAGCATACACTAACAGTCTTTAACACATAGGAAACTTGAGATAAAGTCATTAGTTATAATGGGACTCCTTTAGAGAAGCTTAAGAGATGAAGGCCATCTGATCTTTCCCACCTACTTTCTCCACACAGACCATGAGGCAGGAAGGAAGGGAAGGGTAAGAGCAAGACAGCACAAAGAAGTCATGGAGCCAAGCTGGTAGGACAGAGACTTTATTGTGGCTGCTTGTAGTAAAACATTCAACCCTTCCACATGTTGTTTGTTTTGCTGGAGACCACAGTGTGACGCTCAAAGGCCTTTAACCTCATCTTATGCCAGTCTAGCCAATGGTTGCCTATGTTATAGCTCAACTAGTTGGAGGAAAAAAGTCAGGAAAATCTGGTTTAACATCCCAAGTTAAGGGCTGCGAAATCTGCAGACCATTCATATAAAGTGCTTATGTTCAGTGCAAAAAGGGCAGGCTCAGAGGGGCAAGCAGATACCAGGGAATGACGTTTCCCGGGAGACAGGTGCATTCTGACTCAAAGGAAAAGCCACTTGTCCAACTTTCCCCAAAAGGGATCAATTATTTTGTTTGCAGACTTCCTGCCATCAGGATGAAAACTCTGAACCTGGTAGATGCCTAATACTTGTTTATTTTACTATCAAAACACCTGGCTCCGAGGGAAATGCACAGGGTTCTAAGCACCAGAGATGCTGACTTCGCTTCTGGTTCCTGTTTGTCTCAGCAGCAAATGTGAGCTCAACAGGCTGAGCTCTGGCCGGTGGGAAGCTCAGAGCTGTGAGCTGCTCTTGGGCCTCTCCTTTGCAAATCCACGTCACTGAGCACGACAGACCCTTTCTAAAACACTGTCACATCTCAGGTGGGAATACAAGCCCACATGAAAGGAGCACATCACCTCGTTTCACCAGCCGGATGGGACCTATTCATTGTCCCCTGGTCTGATTCTTGTCTGCAGGCCACCTTCAAAGCAAACCCTTGACCCCCTTCTCTGTTGAGACAGAGAAGGCACTGCCCTGTCCTGACCCTGGGTCTCTGCATATCGCCCTGAGGCCCTGAAGAGTTTGGAGAGAAGAAGGAGAGGAGAGGAAGTGGTTTCCTAACCAGTTGAAGGGGCACGAATAGGACTGTCACTCAAATAGGCAAAGTCTAGCCATTCATTCTAAGATTCTGGCTACCATTTCTCGCCCCAGACTCTCAAAGAGGGAGCCACATCCTCTCACTTTACAGCAGGGATAGTCACAGAAGCTGGCTCTGTGCTTGTAAGCAACCCCTGCATTCCCGTTTGGAGAGGCTGGCCTTTCTCTCCCTGTTGGATGAAGTCAGTGGTGCTCCTCCTGTCGTGTCTGAGGTTCCAGACCCGATCACTTGTATGTGCACCCACAGCTTTCAGATGCCAGCACCTGAGGGAGGACCCTTCTGTTCAGACTACCATCCAAAGACTCAGGGTAACTCCTTGTGCTTTGAGAAGAGACACTTGGAGCAGTGTTATTCCACAGGTAGCCTTTGCTCCAAAACCATCTCTGAGTGCTGGGAAGGCAAGGGAGGGGAAAGAGGCAATCCGTTCGGTGCTGCTCTGTAATTCATGATAAAACCCTTTTAGTCACGAGGAGCTACTGGAATGTCTCTACAGAGGGGACTGTGTACACAAACAGGATGACCCGGGTTAAGAACCAAAACGCAGGGAAGTTTCCAGACAGGCAGAAGTCTAAATAAAGTGCCTCTTTTCAGTGGGGAAGAGTTTCATTTGTTCAGGAATGCTTGCGCGTAAACATGAGTGTGCAGGAACGTGCACGCCATGCATGCACTCTGAGGTAGGAAGGCTGGCCATCTCCAGACAAGCAGAGTCCACAATCCTAGAGAAGCCTGGCACTTGTGTGAAAGGCCCGGTCTTTGCCCAAGATGGCAAGGAGGGTCCAATCCAGCTCCTTCCGACCTGGGCAGAGCCAGAGAAGTCTCTCTGCACAGGAGGAAAGAGGCGGAGAGCATCCCCATCACTCCTGTCCCAGTTCCCAGGGCCCACTGCCCGTGGTCACTTCCGGGAGCCGGAGCCAAGAGCACCCCGGGCCTGGCTTGTCAGTAGCCACTGGGTGCAGATGTCTTGCACTACAGCGTCCCCGCTGCTCTTGGCGGCCTGCTGCACCTGCTGGACGAGGGCTGTGGCCCGTGAGTGTTCCTGCTTCACGGCAATCAGATAGGCAGAGCGCAACTTGCAACATGTCAGGTAGGCCTGAACCTGGCAATGGGCATGAGAAGTGGAAAGGAAACGTCACTGACAGATCAATGAGAAACACACAGCACTGCACCAGAGCTCAGGCACACAAGCTGCCCCTTCTCGCCCACCGGATCGATCACTGGGTTCCTATATTATAGCAACTCCTTAAACATCCTGGACGCTAGGCTATTACAAACAAGATATGAATTTCAAAGAGAAGGAGGCAAGCAGGAAGGCAGAGTCTGGCCTCTGCCTTTCCCTCCTCACTATCTTGGGCTCTCCAGCTTCCTCCTGACTTTACCCTCCACAAGCTGTGACTTTAGTTACTTGGATGATTATTGGATTGATGTCTGTCTCCTTGACTAGAGTTTCAGATCCCTGAGCGCAGGAATAGTGTCTGCTTTTTCTACTGTGAGTTCCTGGTGCCTAGCCCAGGGCCTGGCATGTAGTGGGTGTTTAATAAGTATGCATCAAGTGAATGAATGAACAATTATCCCTGTCCCCTACAATGGGCACATAGATCCCACTCCTTGCTTTTTGTTTTTAACCTGCTGGATTTAAACTCTTTTAGCAGGAAATTTGGGGAATAAAACTTATAAGCATAATTAGAAAAGGTCTAACTTTTGTTGTTTGGATCAGAGCAAGCTCCGTTTTGGGTACAGGTGGTGTTTCTCCTATTCTCTGGACACCCTCAATCTCACGAATCCCCAGCTTGGTGAAGACGAAAACCCCTTCTCCCCTGGCCCCGATCTCACCAGCACCTCCCTGATTGGTCAGCGTGCCAGGCCAGCCAACAGCGAGGCCCTCACAAGCGCCCCAAGCTCTCATTAGAAGCTGCCTTTCTGCTGTGACAGTCCCTCCTGACGGTTGGAGGGGACCCTGCTCTCTTCGTGTTTCAATGCTCCAGATTCTTTTTTGCCTTGGTCACTAAAGTCTTTCTTTCCTAAGCTCAATTACAGTTCATCTCCTACAGCCTGATGCCTGGCATGTTCTGAGCTCACTAAAGTGATCAGGTCTTGCTGTTTGGATATCCAGCTGTTGCCCCATGATACTGTCCTCACGCAGGCACTTATGTGTGTTAAATATGTTACACAAGTTGGCAGGCAAAATTCCTACCAAGAGAAGGAGGGCATTGTGCCAGAAAGGCTGGAATAGGAGCGAAATGAACCTATTTTGGGGCAAGATTTTGTAGCCTGAGACTACTAAAGTGCATTAAAACAGCTGCTGAGCCCTGGCCGGGTGCTCAGTGGTTAGAGCATCAGCCCGTGCACTGAAGGGTCGTGGTTTGATTCCAGTCAAGGGCAGGATGCAGGTTCGACCCCCAGCCCCAGTTGGGGCACATGCGGAAGGCAATCAGTAGATGTGTCTCTCTCACATTGATGTTCCCCTCTCTCTCTTTCCTCTCCCCTTCGTCCTTTTCTCTCTCTTTCTCCCCAGCTCCACCCTCCCTTCCACTCTCTCTAAAAAAATCAATGGGAAAAAAAAACCTCAGGTGAGGATTAACAAAAACAAAACAAAACAAAACAAATAAACAAAAAACAACTGCTGAAAAACAACACTCTGAAAAGCAATGACTCTCTGGATGCTAGTGCACGTCTGTCCCGGGGTCAGAGCCCCTGTCCTGTTGAGTGGGAGGCTGACTGAAGGCTTGGAAAAGGACCGCAGTCTGGGAGTCAGGGAACCTGGGTGTCTGGCCTGGCTGTCGGCTTCTCATTTTGATTCTAGAAAAGTAATCTTCCACATTTCAGAATGTCAATTCCATCCTTTCCATAGGATCTCATCAGGGTGTTGCAGAAATAAAGAAATGTTAAGAATATATTTGCCTTAAGCCCTCACATGAAAAATGCCCTAAAAACACACTCCAGGGATTAGCACTGCTGCCACCGGACTGGCTCCGTGGTTGCGTAAGAATTTGTTTGCCTGACACCAGTTTTCTTCACACTCAGCTGCTGGTTCATTCCCCTGCTAGTGGCTGCGGAGGGCTGGGCTTTCCCAGGCCTGTCCGGTCCTCTGGATGGCAGGTGGATCGGGCCTGCCGTGAGCCACAAACGAGCGGCTGGGGATACTTTGACTCTGGCTGGCCCTCCGTGCAAAGGCAAGGCGAAGCGAAGGTTCCATGATTTCTTACTGAACAGGGAAGAGCTCAGAGGCTGCAGGGGAAAGGCCTCTTCCAGAGAATGTGACACCAGTGGGTACTTGTTGGTCAAGGGTTGGGTGTGTTTTTTTTCCTGCTGTAGAGGGTTCCGTTTTCCTTCCAGAATAAAGAAATGCCTGCCCACTCTGGGAACCTCATCCAATGGATCACCTGATGGTGGGAGTGGGGGACTTCAGAGGGCTGTCTGAGAGAAGACCGCCACAGAAAATGAAGATTCAAGAGCAGCCTAGGGCATGTTTGTCTCAGGGATAAAGAAATGGAAAGGCAAAGGCTCATGTGGTCAATGGTCACGCATTCCCCATCTATTCCCTCCCATCACACCCCTATCTGGGTCCCGGCTTCCCCTCTGGATAACAAGGAAGCCGAGATGCAGGTTGAACAGAACTGCCAAGGAGAGCAAGGAATAAAGGGGACAGGGCAAGCCTGGTGATGTGCATGAGCATCACAGGGTAGGAGGCAGTGCTGCTCACCTTGTTGTCATCGTTGTGTATTGCCTGGATCAGGCCCTCCAGCTCCTGTGAGGACAGAAACACAGCCGATGTGAGAGCAAGGAGCATCCCCGGGAAAGCTGGGGCCCAATCCAGTTTTAGCCCAGCTGGTCTGACTCCAGGATGGTGACACCTGCCCAACTTTTTTATAAACTCAGCTCCTGCCATAAGAGCAACAAAGGGAATCTAATGATAACACTAAGCTTAGGAATTTGAGAAGGATCGGCTCTCAAGAGGCATGTTCTTGGCCTTCACAAACGAGGTGGCTCTGCCACAGGGCAACACTCTCACAGGCAACATGCCTCAAAGGCCATCTGCAGACCTAGCTTTGAGGCATAAAGTGTTATATCACTTTATGAAATTGTGGACCATCTGCACAATCACAGACACTCAACTCCAACAATCCATAGAATCACTTCTAAGTGCAAACAACATTAGAAATGGAGTTGAGGGCCACTTATCACCATGACTCTTCTTCCCAGAGAAGGGTTGGTTAGAGCGAGGCCATTATTACAGCGGGTTAGAAAGATAAAGGAATCCTGTAGAGTTTCAGGTGCATTGTGGGGAACAGAAATCTAAAGAGGGGACATGAAGATGCTGAAATGGAGGGAGGAGCCAGAGGCTGGGAGTGAGCGCACCTGGGGTGGAATTCTCTTGAAGGCTTCCAAGCAATTGAGGAGGATGGTGTCCCCGTCACTCTTGGCTGCCATGCCTGACTCACTGACACATTTGAGCAGCTGTCGGATCTCACTGTATTTCTCCCTCTCCACCAGCTGCCGGGCAGCTCTGCAGTAGGTCGCGGCAGCATCCAGCTGGAAGTCCTAGAATAGAAGGTGGATGATGGGCTGAGGGTGGCATGGGCATTACCAGAGGAAAGAAGGCAACCTTTAAAAAGCTCCTGCTATGCTTGGTGTAAGTAAGCCATATTGATTGTAGTCACAATAGAAAACACACATAAACAAAACCAGCCAAAAGTTCCTCTTTTGGAGTCAAGCAAACATTTAGGAAGCAACCATAAAAATCATAACCTCAACATTTAAATTGGTACATCTTACTTGCTGTTGTATCTGAAATCAGAGTCACAACAGCGTTCATTCTCGCTCTAATGAGTCACCTTTTCTTGGGAAGACAGATGTTGGGGATGGTATTTGCTGTCCGGGACACTTGGTGCTGTTAAGAGGTGCCTTTGTGTACGGAAACAGACCAATTCATCAAAAGACTGATTTGCTGGAAACATCAGATAACCCTGAACTTCAAGCCTGGTCTAGGACAATCCTCCCTGGGGTCTGGGAGCAGCTGTCACTCTGCCTGCCACCAGGGGTGTCTGTGTGTGGAGAGCTTTGTCCAACACTGAAAATGGTGGGAAGAAATAAATCTGCCGGTTGTTCATGAAGTCGTTGATCCTTGAGACACGCCTAAAGCTTACGTTTAAGACCCTGCCTGCCCAGGATGATGGTCCTCAGGGTGTCTGCGTGTAGCTGTGCGGTGGGGGGTGGTCTGGAGAAACCGCTCAGCTCCCTGTGTTGTCGGTGCCCTGCTCTAGCGTGGCTCCAGTGACACAGCGGTGCCTGCGTCCTTTACTCACAGGCAACAGAAAATGTGCTCATCAAGCCAGCTCCTGGGCAGATGGAAGATGGAGGGCCAGCCCTTGTTGCCAGGATGGGGGTGGGGGATTCTCCTGCTGAAGAGGAAACCCCCCAGCCACCTCCTCTGGCTATGCTCCCCTGCGAGGGTGAGCGAGGCTCTGCAGGGAACCAGTGTGGGCAAGTGTCCTAGACTTGTTTCAGGAATTTATTTGATAGCTTTTGATGAATTTGTCATTGGTTACTTGGCTTTTGACAAAGTGGCCTAGAGTCTTGAATTTAACCCAGTTCTGTAACAACCACCTCCTTGATTTCATCCTGATATACATGTGAATCTACTATTCTGGGGATACAATTTTCTGAAGAATAATGTCTCACAGAGCTGGTCGCCCTCAGCATAATCTCGAGTAATCCAGGTCATACCTGCAGAACACGGAATGCCATTCCAAAACCATCTTCGACATTTTTCCCTCCTAGCATGACCTGAAAAGGAGAGGGAAACAACAGAAGCAATAATCACAGAGTAGCCCCTCAATCAAGAGGGAGGGCCCCCATTTATTCATTTATTCAACAAATATTTGTTGAGATCTACTAGGAGCCAGGCACTAGGGATACAAGAGCAATCTGAATGGACTTGCTCTCCCACCTCCTGTGGCCCACATTCTGGTGGGTGGTGGCCATCAAACAAACAACTGAAATAATATTATAAATGTGATATATGTTCTGAAGGAGAATAGACTCTGCAGATCTGAAACACTGTGCATACCTTGCAGGCAACATCCATTTTCATGTGGTTATTTCCAAAAAGCGTTGGCAGAGGCAAGGTGGTGATCTGAGAGGTCCCGGCACTTTCACACCGGTGTAAAAACCTGGTCACTTCCATCTGCAGCTGGAGTGTGTTCATGTGCCTACGGTGACAGGAGACGCACAGGCTAGCCTCCTGAGGGGCTCCAGGAATCACATGACTAGGGCTGGGTGACTGAGAAATCATAATGAGATGGCAATGGAAAAGGCCAAAGAAATGATAGGGAAGGAGAAGAGATCAAAACACCCTCTGAGCAGTTACAACAGCACAGAAACGATGGTCTAGTGCCCTGTACAGACTCACAATAGGTACGGTGCTTTGTGGAACTGGGTGAGGTCCAGTCCTTGAATCAGTGAGTATTTACAGAGCACCGATGTGCTGCTAACAACAGAGGTTAAGAGAGACATGAGCCTTGCCCTCCAGAGTCCATCAGCTGAGGAGAGATGTATAATGAAAAAACACATAAAGCAACTAGCAACTGGGTCTATGAGGCAGTAAATGGTAGTGGTGGAGCATTTACTTTAAAAAAAAAAGTTTTTATTGATTTTAGAAAGAGAAGAAGGGAGAGGGAGAGAGAGATAGAAACATCAATGATGAGAGAGAATCACTGATCGGCTGCCTCCCGAACACCTCCTCCTGGGGACTGAGCCTGCAACCCGGGCATGTGCCCTAACCGTGATCTCCTGGTTCATAGGTTGACACTCAACCACTGAACCATGCCAGCCAGGCAAGGAGCATTTATTTTGGGTGTTGTGCTCGAAGCAGCAAGATCAGTAGGAATAATTCCTTTTAGATGAGTATTCCCCCCGCGCCCCGCCCCCGCCCCGGGCTTAGAGATGGGCAAGAGCAGCTTCATTCCCAACAGACACTCAGCTCTAGCCTTTCTGGCCCCGACTGTCCCCAGACCCCGGAGCTACCTGGACACATCGGCTGCAGTCATCTTCTTTCGGAAGAAGTTGGTTTTCTTCCTCTTGGAGCTGCGGGAGGTTTCTTGGAGGTAGATCTTCAGATGGTCCTTGGCCTTAAGCAGCCACGAGAGCTTCTCTCCCAGTTCTGTGTATGTCTTCGCTTTGTGACTGAAGAACCGAATACAGGTCATAGCAGCCCGGACTTGGTCCTAGAAGAGAAAAACAAAAGTTTAGGTCAGAGGAGGTCAGGGATCTGGGAGGGTAGGGTGTGGGGGAATTCTGATCTGACTCCCACCCATGACGCTTGCGTGCCAGCACCCATTCCCATCGCCAGCTGCACTGCTCTTTGGCATCAGTCCCTCCTAGGCCCAAGAGACCCCACAGTGAAGTGACTGGCTGAGATCTTGGGTAGGATATTATTCTACCACAGAAGAGATCTTAAAAAGGATACTTTTGATTTTCCATTCAACTTGGCTTCGCTCTAACTGTGGCATTGAATAACTCAATTTCGTGTGATTTAGTTGGCAAACCTCAGACAGATTGGGAGAAACTTGTTTCCTCTCTCTTCATGCATCTTCTCTGAAAACACTCCATCATTCCTTATAAATTCTCATTCATGCATATTTATCTTGAAACTACTATCTCTTACATCCCTTGACTTCTGAAGAATGCCATTACTGACAAGATTCAGGTTTCCCTCTTTAGAACGGGGAGAGAAATCCTCTTACTTAGCAATGCTAGACGGCAGGCAACATGGATCGCTCTAGCATGAGCCAATTAGCAAGGCCAGGGACCGAACGACAGTCTTGTTCCCTCTCCTTGCGCATGGCAGGGCCTCAGCGACAGAGACAACAGGCAGGCTGGGCCACCCTTACCTTCATAAACTGCTGCAGCTCGTACAGAATGTGGTAGTAGTTCTTCTTCTGCAGATGCTGGCAGGCGGCGAGCAAGTACTCTCCCCAGCACTCCAAGGTTGGATCAATGGATTCTAGCAAGTTTTCCAAAACGTGTAGCTTTCCACTTTTATAGCTTGGCTGGAAAATGCCTTCTATGAAGACTTCTGGAGGACTCTCCTGGAGCAGGGCGAAGCAGAAGGTCAGAAGTCTCGAGCCTGGGTCTGGCACTGCCTGGGACCCGTTCTGAATTTCCTTCAGCATCTTCCGAGGGCAGTGCTTCTTAATGACTGAGGGTCACAGACACCTTTGAGGATCCCACTCTCGTGACTGTCCTACTCTCTCCTTCCCTTTGCTGAAAGATCCTCCACAGAGTTATCTACGCTCACCGCCTCCTATTTATCTCCTGTGGTTTTCTCTTCAGCCCACTCCGACCTACCTTTGTACCCACAGCCCCTTCGGTCACCAGTGACCCCTATAGTATTAAATATAAAAGTTAATTTTTGGACCTTGTTTTCTGTTTGATCTATCAACAGCTTTTGATACAGCTGATGGCTTCTTTCTCCTTGAATAATTTTCTTTTTTTGGCTTCCAGGAAGCCACCCTCTCCAGGTTTTCTTTCTACTTTTCTGGCTACTTCTTTTCAATCTCTTTTGCTGATTCTCCCATTCTCCCCAGAGCTTAAGACTGTTCATTTTTCTACCTATAGTCGTTCTGTTGGTGATTTCTTAAAGCCTCACTGTTTTAATTACTCTTGATTTGATAACTATGCCTAAATTCCTATTTCTAGCCTGTTCCTTCCTTCTGAGCTCCAGCACTGCATAACCAACTAATACCCAATTGCCTATTCAACACGCCCTCTCAGGAGCCTAGCAAACCTACTACACCTAAAACTCTGCTGGTGATTGTTTCTTCCAAATTTGCTCTTTTTGCAGTTTTCTCTTTCTTAGGTGATTTCCTTCTAGTTGTTCAGGTCAAACACCATAGTCATCTCTCCCCCATATCCCAACATCAAATTAATTAGCAAATTCTATCAAAACACATACAGAGGCAGCGTGAGTAAACAAACAAACAAAAAAACCAAAAAACAAAAACAAAAACCACATACAGAATATGCAGGAACCTGACCACTTCTCACCACCTCCACTGTACCCCCTGGCCCAAGTGATCATCTCCATTTGCCTGGATTTTTGCAATACTTTCCTTCCTGGTCTCCCATCTTGCACTTCTGCCTCTCTTTTGTCTAAAGTCAACCTGTAAAACCTAAGTCAGATCACCTTATTCCTCTGCTCAAAATCCTCCTATGGTTTTCCCAGGCACTCAGCGCAAAGTCCACGTCCTTGCAATGTCTACCAGGCCCTATGTGATCTGGTCTCTGCAACCTTTCTGACCTTTTCAGCTCCTACTGTCCCCAGCTCACTGCTCCAGCCACACTGACCTTTGTTGCTCCTTCCCCTGGACTGGGCTCCCTCCACAACCTGCACGGCTCACTGCGACCTCCCCGAGGCCTTTGTTCAGATGTCATCTTCCCTTGGCATCCTAGCTAAAATGGCACCCCGTCCCCTGTTTTATTTTTCTTATTATTACTCATTACCTACACTATATATTTTATTTACCTGGCTTACTGTCTCTTTCTACTAAAATGTAAGTTTTATGAGGACAGATATTTGTTTCTGTCCCCCCGCCCCCACTGCTGTATCTTTAGTGTCCAGAAGAGTTGTTGGCTATTTAATACATCTTTCTTGGATGAATGAATAAATGATAAACAGTATGAGACTCCTCACGAAAGTAGACACATTTACTAATCCCCTTGCTTCTGAAACTCATCTGTGGTTCAGAGACCCTGAGTCATAAACCCCTATTCCACAGTCATAGGAAAGAAAAGCACTTTGGCATTTAGATCAGGAGTAACTAATGGAGAGTAAAGGATGGCTATCCACTCACGGAGTATAACCATCCGGCCCAGTAGCGCTGGGCACGAGCTGTTTACATGTGGATAAGACTGGGCTTTGAGAATGTCCACAGTGGGTGAGGCTCCTTTCCTGACTCTGGCTGTTCCTGAGAAACCCAGGCCTAACCTCAATGTTGTAGGACAGACTCTCAGGAGCAGAGGCCTCAGCTCCATAGGAAAGGTGGAATTCCTCAGAAGAGCAACATCTTAAGAACCTCCATTTCATCCATTCATCTATCCATTCATTCATTCATAACTAGGCCAGGTGCCAAAGGCACAGATTAGTAAAATACAGACCTTCTCAGTCCAGATGGGAAGATACAACTGTAACAAACAGTTGCAACCCAGGGGGATAAATGCAATAACAGAGCTATAGCCTAGGTATCATGGCGGTGAAAAGGAAGAGATTATTAACATCGCCTGCATGTTCTGTGAATGCACAGAGAGGGTCTGCAAAGATAAATAAGCATTCTCAGAGAACATAAGGAGGGGCAGGGCATTCTAGGCAGAGGGAACAGACTTGTGGAGGTAAGAAAGTTCATGGAACAGCCAGAAAAATTTAGGTCATTGGGTAAATCTGGAATGTAGGTTCTAGGTAGCATTTGTATGAAAATTAACTGGAGAAATAAGGGGCCTTGATCCTGGTGGGCCCTGCAGCTAAGGCATTTGGACTCCATCCTGTGGCTGTGGGTCCCACTGAAGGCCTTTCAGAGAGGGAATAGCAAGAATCATGAATAACAGAAACAGCAGGTATTCATGTTTTAGAAAGCTCCCTCTGGGCGGTGTGGCAGGTAAAGGGGCGAAAAGGACAGGGAATAGGTTAGAAACATAGCGTCTTCCATGCTCTCTCTAGGCATTCAGTTGTTGTGTGAGTGTGTGTGTGTGTGTGTGTGTGTGTGTGTGTGTGTGTGTTTCTGTTGTTCTCAACCTGCTTGAGATGAAGGTAAGATATTTCAGTTCCAGGGTACTTGAGATCACAGGAGATAAAAAGAAAGCTTCCACGCAGCTCTCACAAATGCAAAGCAGGGGCGACGCTTTCGTCAGCTTTTGCCAAGACGAAGTAAGTAAGCAGCTTAGCTCTCTGGACTCGCCGTTAATTAGAAGACACGGAACTGGGTGATTTCCACTGTCTACCTGTGCTTGGGAAAAGCAGATTTACCTCAAAACTCATTTGGAAACTGAGGAAAACGTTAGCAATTAAACTCTAACTGATATAACTTTCCAATTATTCTCGAGACCTGGTTAGTAGCTAAGGCAGCAGTGAAAACATTTCCCTTTCACCGTCCTGTAGGGGCATGGTTATGAAGACTCTGAACTGCTGACTTCTCTTGGAGCAACCCTACACGATCTATTTGCAAACCTTCATCGGCTGCCATTCTGAATTAGAGTGGCAAATGGAAGTGAAAGTATACTTTGAGGTTTTTTACTTTTATATGAAACTAGAGGCCCGTTGCACGAAGAGATGCGTGCAATAGGCCTTCCCTTCCCCTGGCTGCCGGCACCGGTTTTCCTCCGGCACCCAGGACCCAGGCCTTCGCTCCAGCCGGAGCCTTCAGTCTTCGCGGCTCTGGACAGAGCCTTCAGTCTTCGCTCCGCCGCTTTGCCCCTACGTATGCAAATTAACCACCATCTTTGTTGGGTTAATTTGCATACTCTCCAGATTGGCTGGTGAGCGTAGCGGAAGGACGGTTAATTTACATGTTTGTCTATTATTAGGTAAGATTTAGTATGAATCAGCCAATTCCCCATAAGGTTTTCATGGAACGTTCAGATAAAAAAAGGACTGCCACAGGCTTGTGGTGAAACCGAATCCTGACTTGGCTTCACCATGGCTCCAAAGAAATGATGCACTTCGTGGTGCCTGTGCCTCCGTGGCAGGAGGGTGGCGCATGCCAGGGGGGAAAAACAGCATATTCTGCCTCCACAAGATACTGCAGCCCAAACAGAAGATGTGTGCTAGGGGTGACTCCAGGCCCTGCGGCAACAACTCTGAGCGATGAGCAGCTGGTCAGCAGCGGGACACAGCCCCAGGGCAGGTGGAGGTGTGTGGAAACAGAGGTTAAAAAGTTTGCTCAAGGCCACACCACTTACACCAACCATCTTATTCCACAGAGCATGCTCTCAACCACTATTTGATTCTGCTGTGGGCTTTGGGAGAAGGGATGGAGTTTGTCACTGCCAGTGGAGGGCAATCTGGGATCCAGGTTAAGACTTGCTGCACACTCATCAAATCATTATCTGTGTAGACAGAATTTTCCACCGGGCCTCCCTCTGCCAGAGGTGGTCTCATAGCTCACCACTGGGTTTAGCTTAAGGGGGTTATCGCCCCCACCCCTTAAAGCTGAGTGGCCTACCTAGGAGGGCAGAGCAGGCACTGCCGCTTGAGAGCTGCATCTGTGTCTCACCTTGTTGAGCAGGTGCAGCAGGGCTTCCCGTAGACAGCTGTGCCTCACGTAGAAGCTGACGATGGCCAGGTTGGTGCTATAGTTATGCAGGTAGAAGAGGCATTCTTGGTAGTAGGTGTTGTTCATGATCTTCCCTTCAGGGATCACCTCCAGAGAGAGGCTTTGGGTCCGAAGGGTAGCTTCCAGTTCTTTCAAGGTGGCCAAGTAATCATCATCTTGCTGACAGGGAAGGAGAGAGTGAGGAAAATGGAACTCAGTATGTTTTCTGCAGTCCCTGAAGTTATCATTAAAGAATATTTAACAATGTAGAAAAATGCTCACGATACAGTTTTAAGGGTAGAAAAATAGGCAGGATACAAAATTCTATAAATTATAATACTGCATAACATCAATTTCATTCAAAAACACAACATAGAAGGTTCACCAAAATCTAAATACTATTTAAATCTGGGTATGAGATTATATGTGATTTTTATTTTTATTAATATATTTTATTGATTTTTTACAGAGAGGAAGGGAGAGGGATAGAGAGAAACATCAATCAGCTGCCTCCTGCACACCCCCTACTGGGGATGTGCCCACAACCAAGGTACATGCCCTTGACCGGAATTGAACCTGGGAACCTTGAGTCCGCAGGCTGACGCTCTATCCACTGAGCTAATCCAGTTAGGGTTGAGATTATATGTGATTTTTATCATTTAAAAGTAGTTTTCTGCAGTTTGCTTTAAAAAAAAATGTGATTCTGTATTACTTATCTAACCATATATAGTTATTTATCAATCTATAATAGAACGAACAAAACCCAAGCCTGCCATCGTCAGCCGAGTGGAACTTGATCGTGTGCCCAGCTCATTACTGCTCCTGGGCCTCCCTCCCTGAGCGGACCCTCCGTCCACTGTGCTCTTACCAAGGATAGGAGTGGCCTCACTGTGGACTCCAAGTACTCAACCACATCCTGTACCAGTCTTGAGCCATGACTCAGCTGATTGAGGTCAAAAGGAGGCTTCAGACAACGACTGAACTTCTCCCGTGCGGCGGTGAGGTTCCCAGCTTTGAGGCAGGCCATTCCCCAAGCATGCCATGCCCCAGTGGGATCCAGCCCAGTCTTTGTGGAGACCTGGAGGAAAAATAGCTCCTGTAGTTAGAGGTACTTACATCAAAGCCTGAGAGTCCCAAAGGCCTCTTCTATCCCCTTGTTGCCAATCACCTCCCCCACCCCCCGCCCCCCTCCCCCCACCACTTAGGCAAACTGGTCATGCCCTAGATACTTGCTCATGGCCAAGAACTACTGAGATGCAATACCTGTTTGCAAGGCCAGGCAAGGCAATTCATTACAGTGGGGTAGAAGTAAGCTTTGTCTTTGCCTCACCTCAACGCCTAGCTGGTAGTACTCAGCTTCCAAAAGCTGGTTCCTTAGCCTGGTTACTGCAGCCGGCTGCAAGATCTGATCCAGAGATGGCACGTGGCGATAGGCAGCAGCAACTAAAATATTCAGTACGTCTACCTTGCTGATGTAGCTACGGGGAGGAAAAGGACAAGGCAATGAGGCTCCACAGAATCTTACTAAGAATAGTTGCTGCTTAAAGGTGTTCTATTTATTTCCAACAGAACTGTGATAGTGGGAATTGAGAGGTACAGAGACACTACGAGAGAAGGCTGGAGCCAGACTCTGAACCTCAACTCCATCATTTAGCTGCTCTATGATCTTGGGCAAACTAGTTAACCTTTCTTTGTCTCAATTTACTCATCTGTAAAGTGAATATAAAAATGAAATAACCCAAGTGAAAGGGCTGAGGACAGTGTCAGGAACTTGGCAGGCGCTCATTACATGTTAGGTCTTAACATGTGGAGCAGGGTCGCTCAGGTCTTCTACTTGAGGAAGGCCTTTACACTGAATGCTGGAGGCTCTCAAGTTTCCTGTTTGCTTTTTGTTCCTTTTGAACCCTGCTTGCGTGGGACATAGCACAGAGACTGTATGGACGGCCTGCACTCCTGCTCAGCACAGGGCTCACATCACTACCATTCCCGGAGGTCTGCTGGGCAGGGCTTCCTGTCCCTTTCCTCGGATTCCAGTTTCCTGGACTTGACATCCTTTCCCTGGGCTAAGGATGGACTCTCATCACAGCCTACTCGGACTGCCACCTTTCAGTGCTCCTCACACCTGGTGATTGCAAAACCTTATAACAGAAAGCCCAGAGAGCTGGATCATTCTGTCTAGTGCTCAAGGTTCTTAAATCTTGTAACATAACTCTAGCAAAAGACCCTGTGGATCCTGAC